TCCTCCAGGTTGTGAAATGGGCTGTAGCAGGAACCTTGGAGTAGCAGGCTGGAACAGCAGAAGCGAGCGCACCTGGGGTCACAAAAAAGTGCAGCAAAAACTCTGAAGCTGTGCCAGAAGCCGTGAGGGGACATGGGGTGTCGGGCTAAATTAGAGCAAAAAAGCCTGAAGCGAGTGAGGGCCGAGCCCAGCCCTTCACCCTGCAGCTAAAATCTTGTGGTATCTTTGCACTTCCCAAGAGAAAGCTGCCCAGTTAAGACATGGTAGCAAACTGCGCCCTTCTCCCTCCATCTCCTCCCTGCCACATCTTCAGTGTTGCAGTTTTCATCTCTTAGGCAACACATGGGAGAAAATGCCCTGGGAGAAGGGAAAAAAAAGGAAATATCCTAACCTCCAACACACAGAGAAGAGATCTTTCCAGGACACTACAAATAGATCAGATAATGAAAAGTAGCACTACTTTCCCAGAAGTTAAAAAGTGAACTAAACTGGGGGGGAAAAAAGTTTTAATGAAAGTATTTTTTTCCATGGAACATATTTTGGCCAGCTGAACTCTTCCCATTCCACCCCCACATTTTTTGGCAGTCAGTAGTCTGAAGCACTTAGAAAGCAGCAGCCAGTTATTTTTTTTTTACAAACAATTTCCTAGCAAGTCACCATTATAAAAATATTTTGAAGTCAACAAAAAATATTGTAAATTAACCCAAGCAAGGAACCCTCTCCCCACAACCCCACGCCTTTCTTAATACCTGCTTCCATGAATTTGATACCATCAGAATTTGAGACAAAAAGAACAGGTAATCAAAGCAATGGCGGTGGATGAAAGACATGAGGGCTTTTGAGTCCCGAAGAATTCTTGCACCTGAGCAATTGTCTGTCATGTTATTCCTATGACAGCCTTTGTGTGGAATTTGATTACAAGGGAAAGACAGTTTTGAAATGAGGAATTTTCCTTGTATTATCAGAAAACTTTATTGTAGTTTGCTTTTTCTTTCCAAATTTATTCATATAATGTGGGGGCAAGGTCCCAATTTCAGAAAGAGAAGTAACATTTTTTGTTCCTTGGGTTTTATTTATCTTTATTTATAGACATATTCTTAAAGTAGAAAACTTCAGGTATTTTTCTGTTAGGTTCTCTCAATCTACCATATGGCAATATATAGTTTTAACTCCCACGTGATCTTGTTCACTGTTCTTGGTGGCAGATTGCTACATAGCTGAACTTTAGTTGTGTAAATTCCAGTCCTGAATCAATTGTCCTTTTTTGCCTTATTTTCTTCAGTAAATACTACTCCATTCTTTTTTTCCCCCCTATTGAAATCTCAGGTAGCTGTAAAGAACTGGATGCTGCTACTTTAAATTAGTGTTTGAAAAATGCTCTACCACAGGAATTATCTACAACTGTGCATGAATAAATTAGCAAGACAAGAAAAGAACCATGTCAATATTTTAAAAATAAATCTCTAATTGCACAATTAGGCATCAGAGCAAATGTTTATCTGATGGGTACGTGTAGCCTTTTGCTTCTTCAGAAATGTGAGGGGAGGAGTTTATTTGCCAAAGCAGATTGGAGTAGATGTAGTTTCATATTTCCACACAGACAGATCCCACTGGAGCAAGTCAGAAACATGTTCATTTGTGCTTAAGCATTCCTTAATTTGATTTAGTCTAAAACAAACATTTTGTTCCTGTTTGTGTGGTCATGGCAGCATGGAGGAAGTGGGGGGAGAGCTGTGGCTGGGATCAAACTCAACTATTATAAATACTAAGTATGTTAATAGACTATACTTTTGACTATAAATGGGAAGTTGAAGGATGCCTGTGAGGCTCAGGCTCAATGCAGTGGCTTGGCAGAAAACTGGGTTTAAGCTTTTAACTCTACCATAAACTTCCTGAACAAAACAGTGTTTCCTTTGGGTTTCTTTCCCTTTACCATGTATGTAAGAAATAATCAGATTTTGTTTATTTTAAGAGTATTATGAAAAGAAGATCATGCTTTATTCAAACGACTTTGTTATTAGGTACAGTAACTCAGATACCATATAACTTTGAAATGGTTAGTCATAAAGCTCAACCTAAGTGAGATAAAATTGATCCTGTATTGTTTAGCTCTTGAAAAAGTATAGCTGTATTATACAGATGTTACCAGAATATAAGGCATAGCTGGGAGGAGCAAGGTTTACAAACTAGAAAGTATTGATTCTAGCTGCCCTCATCTTTGGGATTGGATTAATTTTGAATTAATCCATTAAGTACATGACACTGTTGCATGGTAACACTGTTGATTTATGAGTTAATTGTTTTTCAGACACTGTTTTTGTAAGACTGAGTATGGGTTTTTTGTTTTGTCTTTTTTGTTGTCACTGAACCACCATTCTTTTTTTCGCATAGAAATTTGGTTAAATGCCTTAAACTTTTATTAGCAGTACTGGCTGGCATTATGGATGTCACAGAAAGCAAACTGCCTACCGGTCTGGTAAATTTCAGACACGAAACACATGTAGGACACTGGCTTTTTAAGGAGTAGTTATGCCAGACACAAAACACAAAATATTACTTAGTAAGTGAATAAACTGGCTGGATCTAATAATGCACAGCTTGAGGTACTGTGATCCATACTGCAAACATATGTGAACAAACATAGCACCCAGTGGCCATTGCTTCAGAATGGTGTACACCAGGAATACTATTCCTGGAATAAGTGACTTAAGTTCTTAGAAATCTGTGGTTCTGGGCATATTTTTCCCTTGTGCTACACATAATGTGATATCCAACATCTGGCAGTAGACAGGTTGCTACTTGGGTTTTGTGTCCCAAAACACACAGATCTGGGAAAGAAGATATAATGATTACTTCAGAAACCTCTGTGGGAAAACACACTTCCAGAAAAACATAAACAAAATGAAAACAAAGTTTACAGACATCTAAGAAACATTTGGTACATTAAAAGGAAAAACAAACAAACAAATCATCATCAGCTGATAAATGAGTCAGAAGTCCATGACCTCCTGTTGCAAAAAAAGGAGTGAGACTAGGCCAGCACCGGCTTGTTTTTGATTCATGAGTCTGAGACTTAGCCTTGCATTGAAGGGTGAGTAGCTGCACATATATAGGCTAATGTTCTCTGTGATAGAACCCTTGCAACCTCTTTTATATGGTGATTTAAAAAGCAAGTGCTGACAGGTCCTAGTGAAGGTCTGACCAGATCATTGAGAGTGATCAGAAAAACTGTGAAGAAATTTTGGCAGGTTTTCAAAGGAGGGGGAAATCTTTAGACTATGCAGAGAGTAATGTGTTTTCAATCTTTAATTTGTTGTACAATTGCTTACAGTAAAATAATAAACTAAAAATCATTAGTAGAAGAGAAAAAAATATAATTAGTGAACATAATTTCCACTCTAAAAATGTGGAAATATGCAATACAGTTAATATATATTGCTATGTGACTTGCCATCTACCCTGTTGACAGTGAAGAATGACTTTTTTTAATAGTGTATGAAGTGTCTTACTGTAAATCTCAAGCAAGGGAATGTTTATTGTTTCCTTCCCAAACACTAGGAAGTGAAAGCATTTTAGCTATTGAGTTTTACTCTCCCTTTCCAATTGTTCCACAAATTACATTTTAGCTGAAATATAAAAGACACTCTGCTGTCTTGCTCTATGACCTGAAGTAGAGTTGGCATCCCCAAAATGGAGACTTTCTTTATTGCAAGGGCTTCACATTTTTTCTACCAAATACATCTAATGCAGCTGCTTTTATGCCAGACACTTGTTTTATTGTTACCCTTGTTTTCCCAAATTGTCTTTCTTTGTTTAAGCCCATTTACTTGTCTGACAAGGCAACTGCAAACTTTCAGAGGCTGGGATTTGTGCGTTTCCACTGATCTGCATAATGCTTAGGACATTCCATTTGCCACTTTTGACCTGATGCTTATGCACAGCAGCTTCATTTAAGAACATAATAGTTAATTCTTCATCGTGTTTGTTACAGAACAAGAGCTCTAGGGATGTCTAGCAGCTAACTGCATATTGTACTTCTTTCTACAAATTGGGAGCTTTCTTGTTTTTCTTAATTTTGTTCTTAATTTGTGATGTGTTCCGTACTTAGTAGTTATAGCCATGCCAATCTGAATTAGTTATGCAAGTTACACAGTGTAAGCTTGCCTCCGCTATTTAATTTTAAGAGAAAATCAGCTATTCTTTGATACATGACCTTTTTCCTCTAATCTTATAGAACTATACTTGCTGATCATTCTTCTTGAAGAATGGACCTAGTAACTGTGTTGTCAGAAACCTGGAAGACATTAGCATCACATGAGACATTCTTCTTTTATTCTGACTAAGCATGAATATAATTGCACACATGGCTCTGTGGAGCATGAGTACAAAATAATGGCTTTCCTCTCTAATATCAATTCTCCAGTTAGGCTTGTGGCTTGGTAACTGTTGCTGTCAGTCCTCCTTTTAATCTAAAATCTGATAGACTGTTTCCCTTTCCTTTTACTTTGATAGTTTATTCCTTTGCCTATTCTTTGAGTATTGAATTTTCTTTTTAAACCTCTGAATTAAAAACAAAATTGTTATTTTAGCAACCCTGGCAAATATCTGTTGATCTGTTTCTGTGTGTACATGTATTGTAGCACTGGCTTTTTAATAAAGAATAATTTTATTAGATAACCAAGCCTTCCAATAGATATTTTTTGACATTGCGTGGCTGCCAAATCCTCTCCCAGCTGTTCTTTTTTAGTGCATCTTCCTTAACTGGATAGGGGGTCAAAATGACAATAAATATTGCGGGTCAAGGCAAAGACAAGGAGGTCATGTACTAATTACCATTACAGGCAAAACAGACTTGACCTGGGGAAAGTTAATTCAACTGTTTTTTCCTTTTTCCTTCACCACCCCCCTGCTGGGCCATGCTCTGCCCATTCTCAGCTGTGCTTCCCCTATGGAGCTCAAGGCTAGAGAGCTGAGAGGCATTGGGGCTGCTGGAGCTATCTGGAACAAGTCATATTAGGCCTGGGGTAGTCTCTCCTCTTCCAGAGAGCACATCTGGGCACTTGCACAAGGTAAATACCACCAGCAGTTTTGTATGTCTGTTTCCTCTTAAACAGTACAAAGTGGAACTGAGTATGTATTTGTAAAAGTAAATGACAGCTTAGAATGGATATTATCTGACTTGGCTCAATCAGAGCTAACTCTAAATTTTAAAAAAAGCCCGACTGTGGGAAATTATATGTCATGTGAATTAGCACTGATACTCATGCTGACTTCTCTAAAGTGAGGTGAATTAGCACTGGTATTCATGCTGACTTCTCTAAAGTTGCATTGGTTAATTCATATTGTCCTCAGTACAGACCTATTTTTGACTCACCGAGAGAGTGAGTACAGAATAACATAATAAGAAGTATTGTGTTTGATTATTTTCTTTCTTACTATGAAATCTTGACAGGATTTTGAAATAAGAGACATGCAGTATTAGTATAGACAAAGAGGTTAAAGGAAGCTGAGCCTTAGAGCACCATCTTGATTTGAAGAGGAGCTAGACATCAGGCTGCATTTGAAGGCCAGGTTAAATAGATTGAAGTACTTACTCCTTCATGAAGCCACAGACTAATGAAGTACATGTTTTTTGCTTGCCACTGAGAAGATTTTCTATGTTATTTTTAGTTTCCTTTTACCCTTGGGTAAATATCTGTTTTATAATAAATAGACTCATAGCACATGGCTTCAGTAATGCCAAAGAACTACGTAAGTTCCCACTTACAGTAGATAGATATCCATTCTGTTTCCCTGGGGTATGCTGATGACTCTGACTGCCAAAAACTATGGATGTCTGGAGAAAAAAGTGTATTTCCTCATGATTGCAGCTTTATAGACATAACAATGCCACATATTTAAAACTTGTTCTGCAGCAACACACTCTTCACTGCAAAGTTATAAAAGCCCAACTCTACCCGACAGAAGAAAGCAACATAGCCATTAATAAGCTTTGAAGGTTAGGGAAAATGCTGAATTGTAGATTAATGTCATTGTTAGATTTAGTCTGCAATTATTTAATTTATCCATAAGTGTCTGTGCAATGTTGTGCATTTTGTGCACTGGAGTTCAAGCGCAATACTAAGCATGGAAATACCAATGGCTAGAGGCACTTATGGAACCTGGAGATGGTTCCATCTTTTACTGGTAATCTGATGAGGAACAGCAGTGGGGAGTTGGCAAAGCAAGGTAACTATGGCTGAAAAAAACCATTTTGGTTACATCAGAAGAGAGTTAGCGTGTAGCCATTGAGATAAATGTAGTACATGAGAATCTAATTCAAGCTATCAGGATCAGTAAATGTCCTGTCTCTTGCATTTCAATTCTTAGTTGAAACCTATATTGGAATGTACAGAATAAAGCTAGAAAGCCAAGCTGGAAAAAGGAAAAAAGATTTCTAAAACTGCATGGTCGTATTGCAGGTGTTTGCTTCAACAGATGTCATACTACAAAGCAACTATTATTATGGTGGTAATGATCAGTTATTCTTAGAGTATCGTGAAAGCTAAATAAATGCATACTAGTGTAAGGTATTCAGAAAAAATAAGCTTTGGACCTCTGTTTCTGTTCTGTGCATATCCTTCTGTTCTGTGTGTATTCCTTTCTTCAAAGAAGCAACACCATTCAGGAAAACTGCAAGTCACGAGGCAGATAGTGGAACATTAATCTTACTGAAAGGAGATGGGAAAATTCACCCATAATTTCTATACAGGTCTTGATTGACTTTTTATCCAATGGAAAAATCTCTGTGCCTCCATTGCTTTTGTTCTGCTCTTCTTCACAAGTTGATTACTTATACACAGCCACTAGTGGACTTCCAACAAAAATCAATTTTCACATAGTCATTTTATTGACATTGTAACAATGTTGCTTGGCACAAGATGTTTTCATATTTAAAATGAGACATCATGAGGTCCAGGATTCTGACTTCTGATGTGATTCAAATTCCTGGACTGGGCCAAGATTCTGAGAGATATACAATCAAGAAATATTAGACTAAAATGAATGATTTATCAGAACAGGAGACAAAATATTTATGTTTTCCAGTGAGTACATGTTGATATAAAGTTGTTTTTATTATTATGAGCTACTAGATTAATATTTCATCAAATCCCACCGTACAACAATTCATATAGTTGTTAAAGGATTCTGTGCAGGTTACAGTGTGGATAGAAGTCTGTTTTTTATTTCTGGCATCGTTGCTGATATTTTTTATAACTTCAGTCATTTTGACTTCTCACTCTTTAGTGGCATTATATATTCAAATAATAAATCCACCAAATTGTCTATGATTTTTTACTTGTCTATCCTAATGTCATAATGGATTAGAGGATTTGGGTATTCATGTACCTTATAATAGTATTTCTACAAGAACACATTTAGAACTTGTGTTCCAGTTTGAGTTTATTTTAGGTACTTCTGCAGTTGAATATTCTGTAAGCCTGTTTAGGAAAAGAGATACACAGAGGTATCAATGGCACTTCTAGCTGAGATAAAGATGGGCCTGAGTAAGTGCTTCCCAGTTAGCAGTTGATTGTACTCACATAGTCAAACTCTGACATTAGGTTTCAACATGACTGAGCAATCAAAATGTGTTGAAGACATGAAGAGCTGCATTTTATATTCTATAGTTATTAAAACCATTTACTAGCCAGGAGAACAGATTTCACACCATCTTAAAAAAATGAACATAAAATTAAATATTTTGTAAGAAATGAGAATATTAATGTGTTAGAGAGCATTTTGGACAGACACTGTAGCCTATGTGCACAAACCTGCAGGCAAAACAATGGACACTCTGTGGATTTAGAAGCATGTTTGCAAACACTCTGTGTACGTGCCTGATAGCAGAGGCATACTGCCCTTGGGCAGCCAGCATGAGAATGTTTGCCAACTGCATCCAAAGGAAAAAGATGTGAAAGAACATGGTCTGAAGATGCTTGCAGTGGATGAGAAAATTTTCTGCTGATATTGCTGAAAGCTAAGCTACGTGACCAAGATATGTTTAAGAAATGCTCTTTGTTTTATGCACGGTGCTTTGTTAACCAATCAGATACTTTCCCGTGTCGCTTGAACCCTGGATAACCATATAAATGTACCCAGAACCTAACAATAAATGAGCATTGATCATACTTCTATGAAGATTTGATCTTTGACTCCGGAGGCTCCTCTCCTTTTTCCCCCTACCCCTACTCTCTCTTTTATGATTAATGCGCAGTAAGTCCAGGAAATATTTTTTTTCTTTGTGTTGAGGTAGTGAAAAAAAGGGAGAGAAAGATGTTTCCCAGGAATAACTGTGAAAAAGCTATGCCAAGGCTCTTGTGTTGCCATCTCTACTTGGTAACATAATAGTTAAAATGAAGCAGCAAAGAAATCACTCTGTGTTGGGAGCAATTTACTCATGACTGTTAACTAATTGTTTTATATGTTTCCAGTCTTCCTGGCCTATGCACATTTATATAATTCCTTTGGCTTGTTCTGTTTGTGGACTGTACTACAAGAATTAATAGTAGACCAGATGACTTTTGATAGCAGCCTTCCTATATGTTAAAATCTGAAGTCTAGTTTTTGTACTCTATAAGTATTAAAGATGGTGCCGGTTTAGCAAATCATGCATAGATGTAACAGACTTTTAGGGGGCCATGTAACAAGTAAAACAAACAAAAGTATTTTTCCCCTCAGTGAATACCTCTTTTTAAGCCAGTGATAGAGCTAAAATTACAGAAGTCTACTATTTTGCTGAAGCTACTATTGGTAAATGAGGACTAATCTACTTAAATTTGTAATTTAAAACCTGTAACAAAAATCTGACCCTCAGAGCTACTACAAGTAACCACAGAAAATATTCATCCTCACCCCCCACAGAAAAATTAAAAATCCCTTTATAATTAGGGCATCATTCCTATCTCTTGGCTTTGGGTTCTTTTTACTTTGACCTCCCATGTTTCAAGAAGGCTGTAGCCTTACCCTGTTGTAACATTTCTGAGAATAACAAGACCACAGGTTTATTAATGCATTCACAGAAGGAGTGAAAAATAGTTTTAATATATACCAAGATTTTGTGCAAAGAGAAAAGAATTTTAAGACCCTGGTGAATTGGAACTAACTCTAAAAGAATGTAATTACAGCAAGGAAGATTCACATTAAGGGAAAACTTGAAAATGAAAATGACAGCAGAATAGTAAACTGCACTAAGATTTATAATGTAACATAAAATTCCATATTTCATTTCTCTAAATGTCTCCAAGAAACTCAGGTTCAAAAATTTACTCTTGATATATACCTTTCCATGTCTGCTGAAGCACAATTGCTAGGTATTCTCCTCTGTCTTCTAAGTGGGGATAACCAACAGTCTTTATTGCCTTACTGTTTTCTTTCTATTTTTAGTTCTTTATTCATTTCCCTAATTTCTATTTTCAGTTCTCTATTCATTACCCTCCTTTCTATTTTTAAGGGGTTTTTTGCCAATAAATAAAGGGAAAAGTACTTTTAGAATACTTTCTTCTTCCCCATTCCACGTCTCTTCCTCTGTAAGAACACCAGCAATTTTTATAAACCTATGAAAATAATTTCTGAAATATAGTCAAATCCCCTTCTCTACACCTGCATATTTTTCAAATAGAAGGACAGCTAAATCTAAAATATTACAGAACTGGGAATAATATGTATGTAATTGCTTTAAGGAATTATCCCTTTTGAGCACTTGCCTCTTCAGACTCCCTTGCACTTTTTGTCAACTAAGGAGCCATTAGCACTTTTTTTCTGATTGGTTTTCCCCTCCAGGTCCTGACACCTGTATAATTTCCCTGTCTCCAGACTTATAGAGACATTATATAATATATAATTCTTATATAAAAGAATTATACCTCTCTCTTTCTTCCTCACCGATTTCCCTCTAATCTTATATTTTTCTTCTACTTGTGCTTCTGCTGCAGCAGGAACACATCTAGCAGGAACAACCTGCTACAGGACCTAATGACAGGGCCAGTCTGTGGATTGTACCTTAGATTTCTGTAATAGCAACTGCCCA